AGTGCCTCACTGCGGCTGCCAGGGTAATGCATATATTTTATATGAAATAGTATGAAAATATATGAAAATTGCCCAGATGTCGGTTGGTTCGTTGTTATTCTCTTCCCTCGCTGCCAAGTGCTGTGCGCAGCATTTACAAAAAGCGCTTGAGTTACAGCTATGCAAACAGAGCTGCAGATTAGTTTTTATCTGATCAAAATATTTACAGAGCTTTTGCCTCAACCAATTAACAGCAAGCCAGCCGAGAGAGCAGACTTTAAGTCAGCTTTAAGTCACATGAGCACAAGTGGCCGCAATTTAAGTATTTACTGACTGACTGGCAGGAGCTGCAGGAGCAGAGAAAATGCCTATCGCCCAGCTGGTGATTGTTTCGCATTTTAAATACCCTCACCACAAATATCGAGTTGTATACACTCATGAGTTGCAGTTGCAACTGTAAAATATGATTGCATCGAAGTTTCTTTTAACAAGCAATATTTTCTCCTTGATTTAAGAGAATGTAATAGTAGTTTAATAAGTAATAAGCACTTTATGTGGATGAAAGATACATCAAGAAAATGATGCAAGTTAAGTGCTTAAAGTTTACATGTTTAGTTAAGGGGTGCTAGATTAAAAGGTGATATATCTGATGTATTATACATAAAATTATTGGGAAGTATTCGTTATGATAAATAGGAATATGCAGTAATTATAATGAAGAATTAATGGGTGCACGCGGGAAGCTATCAAATGAAATTATAAAATATTTGATTTTGATTTTGAAATAAATTGAAACAGAAGAGTTGATTTTGTGCAATTGAATTGAAATTGAACATGTGGGTGAATCATAGATTTTATTTGTATCTACCTGAAGTTGGCCTGAATTGCACAAATAAGTTACACACGTATTGAATTTTCAACAATATTCATTTGAGCCCGGCGATGTTGGGTATTTTCTACTATTAAACAATACAACATGTTTTCAAAATCAGATCCAGGTGTGGCTTTGCCTATAAAACTCATACCTTCACAATTAAAAAACAACTATTTGTACAACAGAATTGTATGTAGTTCGTGATGTTGCCAAAAATAAATGAAAAGACAAGCTGCCCCAGGCAAAGGTCAATATTAGTAGGTTTGGCAGGGTATATGGGAGATGAGGCTTCTCTTTTGTGCTGTTTCTTATTTTTTTACTTTGCAAAAGTACAACATTATGGCAGAGCTAAAAAAAAAAGAACAAAATTGAAAAGGCAACAAGGCATTACTAGACGTCGAAACGAGTGACTGGGTCTGGTAATTTTCCCAATCCCTTGTTGGCTCTTCTCGATTTTTTTGTTTGTTTTTTCCTTGATATTGGCGGAGAGACAGCTGCCGTTAATAAGGTGTTGTTGAGCAATTTAATTTTATTGGACTTCTATTTTGGCAGTCAAGCTGACACACACACCCACGCACACCCACACACTCACACACACTTACAGTCCAGCCTGTGCGTACTTTAATTTTAATTGGCCCAACGCACGTGAGCCCAAAAATGTTGTCGTCTTTTGTTGTTGTTGTTGATGTTGTTGATGTTGCATGTGCCCTCTTGTTGTTTTTCTGTCGACATGTTCCTCTATCACATTTCAACAGAGTGCTCTGTGTGTGTGTATTTTGTCGCTTTATTGTTTCGCATATAAATTTGCTCTGAGCTTTTTGCTGTTCGGTTTTTGCAATTTTTTGGGCTGCAAGTCGTTAACATGTTCTTTTTTTTTTTCTTATTTAATGCCATTTTGATGTGGCGCAAAGAAATTTCCACTGGCATTTATTGCCGTAATTAAGTGATGAAAAATGTTTGATATTCTGCCGCCCCCAAAACTCGGCTCTGAATAACGCATTTACCAGTCGGTGCTCCTTCTCCCGCACATTGCCATCAAAGGTCATCAGCATCGACATGGTTATAAATTGTGAACCACTGCCAAACAAAGAGCAATTCACATTGCTCTTAAGTGCCCTTATTCTGTTATTTAGAACGCTTCACCGAATGCTCTAACTTATTCAGATCTCAAATTTATGACCAGCTAAAATAAAGCTCCTGACTTTTGCACCAATTGCAACAGGCGCTTCATTAAATGTTTTTTGTGGAAGCAATTTATATTTTTCTCTTTTTTTTTCGTTTTATAAAAAAAGAAGGTTAAATGCCATAAATTGAATTCTATAAGCAGTCTATTAATTTGATTTTTTTTTGATGCAACTTTATTAGTTTAAATGGATTAACAAATGGCTGATATGTTCAGCCCGCATGTTTAAAATGTTGTTAAGATATCCTGTATTTATAAAATTTTTGAAAAGAGGCATGAATAAATGCAGGAATAAGTGTGTAACACTTAATGGGTTCACTCTATTGAAGTGCTTTTGCCTCTAGAAGCTGTTCCTTAACACCATTCCATTTCCCAAATTTAGTACCTTGCCTTGGGTACATGCTATTTTTTATTATTATCTCCAACTTTTGCACAGGGTACCTTTTATTTGGGCTAGCTGTTACTTGTTGTTACTTGTTTTTATATATAGAGCTTCTTTTTGAAGTTCGTTATAGTATTTTTTTTTGTGCTTTTTAATGCCCGAGTAATGTAAACAAAAACATTGTCGAAGTGCTTGTTTACGAGAAGTGGATATATTTTATAAAAAGCCACTCAAAAATGTGGGCTTGTTTTTGCGGTCTAACGCTTTAAAATAAGGTTGGCTTTTAAAACGCAACACTTCACTTAATCAACTACATGCCCACAAAATGTTGGGCTCTTCAGTGTTAATATGTTATATTAATAATTGTTAAAACTTGTGCAAATAACTTACCAATATTATATACATTCGAAGACCGCAGATGGCCCTTCAACTTATTTTACTATAGTTTTTTTTATTGCCTTTCTTTAGCAGTTGCAATTTTTAGTATCTGTTTAAGTTTCACGCACTTACCATTTAAATGATACATTTCTTTAGCTATCAGAGACTTAATGTTAAACTTTGTTGAGGTACCTTACAGTAATTTTTTATGGCATAACTTTCTTGTTGAGAAAACCTGAAAGTTTCCTTCAAGTTTCAAGTGAATAAAAAGATTTATCGAGAGGGTTCGACTGGAATATCTTCTATACTCAAGCCTTTAATTCAAATGTCGTTGTTGTATAACTTAAAGTGTCTCATAGCTATTTCTTAATTTGCTTACCTTTTTTTTCTTTATTTTTATTTTTTTAAAGAACCTGGGTATTTATTATGCAATTTGCATGTTTACGTTTTTTTTATAGCTTGAGTATAACCCTATAGAGATTTCCGCTAGGGCATTTAATAAAAAAATTTGTAAATAAAATTCTTAAATGCGTGATGTATGAAGTGCCTTTTCAAGCAGCACACCAAGAGGCAGCTTTAAATTAATTTAAGTTAAAATGTTGCCGCTTCCGTAAGATGCTTAAAATTCAATACACGCACTTCCACAGCAAGAGTCCTTTATAAACTTGATAACACTTGGGCCCTATCGTATGATGTGTTCATGCATGCGGGTGTGTGTGCGTGTGCGTGTGCGTGTGTGTGTTTGAGGGTCTTTAACAGAAACTGTCAGCCGGCTGGGAATTTTAATTTGGAAGGCAAACAACAAACATCAGATGAGGCGGCACTGAAAAGACCGACAGGCAAATGCTGTAAAAACATTTAAATTAACGTCTCCTTTAAAACGCTTCACATGGTGTATGTGTGTGTGCTGGCGCATGTGTGCGTGTGTTGAAAAAGCATTCATAAAACGAGCCCATAAATGGCAAAAAGGGTCACACAAACACAAACAAACACGCACGCATGTCCATAAAGATAAAGACCATAACGTGCCCATAAACCGAAAGAGTCTTCGAGTATGTGTGTTATTTTTGCTCTCCTACTTTTTTTCACTGGCTAATGTTGCCGTTAGCCAATAGAGGTGTGCACATACTTACCCGAAAAACGGACGATGAGCAGGATGGAAACAATTTTCCAAACTGCCCAACGGGCGTATGCGTAATATTGCATTTGGGCTTCGATTAATGTCAGCAGCAGCCGTTGCATTGGCATTCGCATAGTTCGTTCCCATTTACAGATACATTCATATTGAACCTTTATTCATTGTTATATAGTTAAATAACATTTGCATTTTTCTCGTACATTGAATGTATTTAAAAATATTTTTTTTTTTTTAAATTTATAACTGCAAAACTTAACTAAATACTTGTAAACAATGCTAAATCAAAATTTAGCTGTAATTTTAATTACAATTAATTTGTATGTATTTATGCTTGTATTTGTTTATTTTTGTTTAGCGGGGGCAATTGTCAGTAATTTTTAATTGTTAGCTATAATTAAACAAAGCTCTGAAGTGTGAGCATTATATTTATTTAACTTTAATTTATTTTATTTGTTTTTTTTTTTGGCAGAGATATGTTTATTTTACAGTTTACAACTAGAAGTACGAATAGTAACTATTATAATATTTAATACATACATATATTCTGCTCGATTAGAATGCCAAAAACATGTTCTAATTAATTATATTATTTTTAATGAATAACACGTTTGCTTTGGATGATTTTGGTTGCTGCTCTTTAAGTTTTTGGGCGTTGCAAAATTAGCTAAATTATTGCGTACGCTATTTAAATTTAAATTCAATTTATGGCTACCTCTATTTCCCTCTCTCTCGCTCTCGCTCTCACTCTCTGCTAAAACGCATGACTTACAACAAAATGGCGACGCGCTGCTTGTTTACCTATGCACAAATTTATGTGTTTGTGTTTTTGTGTGTGTGTGTGCGTGATTGTGTGTTTGCCAAGTGCAAAATATTCACAACATGGGGCTCATTATAGTTGCAAATACTTAGCACTGGCTTGCAATGCTAATCGCTGACCGTCCCTTTTAGGCTTCACTGTAATCAGGCGTTTTAGTCAAACGGCTCCAGTTATTATTATTATTGTTGTGTTTTAAGCGCATAATATATGTATGTATATCAAGTTAGTTGCTATATTAATACAATTAAATTTCATAAAGTCTTTTGTTATTTAATTTCCATTAACATAATCATTTATCGATTTGCGATCAAAGAACACTCCTCACGTCCTATACAGAAACCTCCTTGGTGTATTTGGACCGATCATTCAGATCGAGCATCAGCTTGTCGGGTCGCTTGGGTCGACCCGACCCGCTGCCGCTCGTCTTGTCCGTTTGGCTAGTCGAATTGTTTGATGCGTTCGACACGTTGCCCAGCGACATGGTCGCCTCGGCTGATGGCTGTGCCATCGGCTCACTATCGCTGTCTCCACCGCCCCCACCCGCTGCCAATGCCAAGATGTTGCTCGTGTACAGGGCTATGTCATCCGTGGAGCGTGCCACCTTGGCCACAGCTACACAACTGACAACCGTCTCGGTACGATCCAGCAGCTCGCTGCTTCTCGTTTGAGTTGGCGGCGCCAGTGGCTCGGCCTGTGTACAGCTGCCGCTGCGTCTTCTACCGGCCGGGGCCGGCTTATCGCTAAGCCTATACTTACTTCTACAGTTATCACAAATTTGATACGAAATGCTAACCTCGGCCTCGAGTAGGTTGCGAGCGCCACGTTTGCAGCTGCTGGGCGGCGTATTGGTGGCTGCTGTGCGCGTGGCAGCGGGTCGTCGCCGCTGCGTCTGCGTCTGGTCTAGATCCTCCGACTGGGAGCACATGCAATCCAGCTTGATATTGGCGAAGCTCAGGCTGCCCTCTTGCTGTGGGGAGCCCAGCTGCTCGCAGGCGCTGCGCGGCGGACAGCAATAGTAGTGCTCCTTGGACGCGTCCAGGCAGCGGCTGCAGATGATGTGCCCGTCGGCGCTGCGGCGCAGCAGCAGCTGTTCACGGAAATCATCGCCGCTCAGCTCCGTATTGGTGGCGCGCTCCTCGTAGGCAGCTGTGGGCGTCGGTGTTGCCGTCGAGGGCGGCGTCTCTAGCACCATGTTGGGTATGCTGCCACGCGCAGCGGCCGCAGCGGCTGCAGCTCTGCCATTGGCATTGTTGTTCTGCTGCAGCTGCTGGCTGTACTTTTGCATCTCGGCGTTGAGTGCCAGCAGCGGCAGCGCACCTTGCCGCGTGGCAGTTGACGCATTGCCGCTGGTGGCATGTGTGGCGGCGGCAGCGACTATCATCATGCCACCTGGCGTCTTGAGACCATCCAGCAGGCTCGATATGGTCATCACAGCCACGCCCTTGGGCGGTGCCATTTCCTGTATGCGCTGCAGCTGCATGCTCAGCTGTCGAATCTCCTCGAGGGCCTCCTGGTCGGACAGCTTGGTTTCTGCAAATGGAAATGGTTGGCTTGATGAAATCGTACGGTTTCTCAGCCCCAAACAATTACAATTGCTGAATAAGTGCGGCAGCCACACAAAAAGCGTCGTTTACACGCAGCCTCAACTTTCAACTGGAAAAGTTGCCAGCCCAGTCCGGTTCGGCTCGGCCCAGATGCCCCCTCACAACTTTTGCACTAAAAAAGTTGCGCTCGTGTCAGAAGTTGCGCTGGCATAAGTAATGCCAGCTCGTCCCGCACCGCAACGCCCTGCGCCGCCCCTCGCCCCAGCGAGGACAATTTAAATGCGTATTCCTGTAGCTGTGGCAGGCAACAAAACAGGCAACATGGAAATGAAAATGGACGCTGTTGCGGCTATGAGTTGTGGGTTCTGGGTTCTTTCTTTCACTCAAGACAGCCTACAGTGTGTGAGTGTGTGTTTTGTGGTGTGTGTGTGTGTGTGTGTGTGTGGGCATGGGTTTGCTGTTTGGACGATGATAAATGGCCGTTCAATTCAACTGAAAGCCTGTCAGTGTGATTTAAGTGAGTCCACTCAGCGCCACTTGACGCGACTTTCGAATACAAAAAAAAAATAAAAAGAGAAAATAAAAGAAAGTGGCAACTTTTTGGTGGCTGGATTTAGATTTATGGCTGTGAAATTAAGCGAGAGCAGCGGCAGTGGCCAGAATTGAATTTATTATGTGCCCCTGCCCCAATGCAAGTTCTCTACATATTTGCACAAAAAATATTTAAAATTCACCACACAAATCCAAATTGTGTGTGTGTGTGTGTGAGTCGGGTATATTTGGCATCGTTGTTATTGTTTAATTTAAATATGCAAATTGATGGCAGGCCGCTTAAAAACGCGCACGCAATATAAGCGCGTCTCTAGCGCAAAAATGTTTTGAAATTTAACGCACAATTTAACTAACGTCTTGCGGTGGCAGCAGACGCTACCAAAATAGAAATACGAGCAATAAAAAATTAAATATAAAAAAAAGGCGCCAATGAGAAAAGGTCGCTCATAAAGCATTAAAACATAAAGCGTCAGTTTCTCTCTCTGTCTCTCTCTTTCTGTTGGTAATAAACATCGCCGGCAAATTAAATTGCGGCACTAGACACAAACCGCTCGTAACTCGTCTGAATTACGCCCAATAATAACTTTTCTACGGATCTTAATCAGTTTGGGTGCCACGCCCAGCTGTTTTAGCCGCCCCCCATTCGATGCGGAACTGCAAAAGTTTTGCCACCGTCAAATTTGAACTACCTCGCCATTAAATCAGTGATTCGCTATTTGGCGACATCCTATCAAAAGAACATCATCAGGCATTGAGAGACTTCTGGGAATAGACCCTTAACAAATTTCGTGGCTCTTGTGCCAACGTTCAACATAAATAAATAAATGTATCTTTGAGATCTACTCGGAAGTTTTCGCATGGCTGCTGTTGCTTCCTGCCACACACAAAGGCACACACACACATACACGCACACACACACACGGCAGCTGTTAAGGTTAACCGCATCAAGCATTTGCGACATTTTGTGCGCACATAAATCAACGTTGAAGTTGACATAAGATAACTGCGAATATTCGAGCATATTCATATGCCATGCATATGTATATATATATAGTTATTTATTTTTATGTTTTTTTTTTCATAGGGCTTCGATCCCTGAACTAAGCGCACTACGCAAGCATTTAAAGCTGGCCAACGATGCCAGCGATAAGCTGACGCCACTCGCAATCTGTTTATTTTTTAATTCGCCAAATAGAGTGCCATAAATAAAAGTCCAAACGCCAGACAGACGAGTTGACTTAATCAGCATGCTTGAACTGCGTGTTGCCGTGCATAAATTCGGTCGGGCAATTGTGGCGCCACACGGCCAACATAGAACATTTGTCAAAGCGGACAAGTAGCAATTTTCTGGCTGTCAGGACACGTCTCGTTAGTCATAAGCATCGATATGCAGTCGCCTTCTGTTGGCCATAATGATGCAATTAGTTACCTGCCGAAGTGGTGCCAGCTGCAGGCGCCGTTGATGTTGTCACCGAACTGGGATGGGCGAAGGTGCGCACTTGTGGTCGAAAATTGAATTTGGCACCCGATGCCTTGGCGCCCATGCCAATGTTCTCCTGATGCGACTTCCCGCTGCGCAGCACAATGTAAACCTGTGTGCGAGTGAAAAAAAAGAAAAGAAAATGGACAACAGCTACAATCCAAATAATCGCTCAAGTGTTTGCGGTACTACGTACCTTGCTGCCAAAAATGAGAGCCAGCAGCAGGGTCACCGTCAGCTGTGTGTGGCAAAAGAATATGATATAGAGCAGATCCGGATTGGCCGGCGACTGCAGGAAGAGCCTGCCAAGGATAAACAAAAAGCATGGTAAACATTTAATCAAAGAAAGCTCAACAATAATACGAAAAGCGCAATCGAAATTGAAATCGAAAGCGAATGCAAGTCCAGAATATTGAGTTTTGCTCTTACTGACAATTGGAAACTTGGTTCTTGGTACTTGGTACTTACATGGACACGTTGAGGAAGCAGGTGAGCAGGAACTCGTTGTATATGGCCATTGATATGAAGCGGCTCTCATTGAATTCCGAGGGAGCCTTCCGCACCATGATACAGAGTCGGACGCCCCAGGCCAAGAATAATACTTCCACTGTTTTTGACGGTACGGGTAAAAGAGAACCGGGCACAGGGCACAGATTTTTGCTGGTTAGTTGATTGCTTTGTGCATTTGTCTGGCTTTTAGCTTTGGCTTGGAATTTTAATTAAAAACTTCAGCACTCAACGTGTGCGCCAGCTGCTTAATTAGAAGGCAATGTCTACGAGCCTTATGATTATATTATGTATTATATTTACATGATGGTGTTCACAGTATTCTTTATGAAACGAACAAAAAATCATTCAACACACGTTTAACAAACACACAAAGTTGCGACTGATTTTCAATTATTGTTGCCCTGAACACGAATTTGCAGCATACCTTTCAGCGCAAAGTAGCAAAATTAATGCACTCGACACGCAGCCGTTTGCCCTTCTTTTTTTTTTAATGCGCATGTCGTGTTGTCCCATGCAAAGCGCACTTTAATAAAAAAAAGTTATTTAAGACCCGATTTTTACCGTTGTCATAGTGCAGGCAGTCATCAATGCAGCAAAGAGCATAGATACCTTTGCTGGGTATCGAAGTTTTTTAATTAGCACAGCTGCCACTTGCTTCAGCAATGCCTTTGTGGCTGCCACTCTTTGCTGCTCGGCTTTTCCTTTTCATATCGAAGCACTACTATCAGTCTATTCTATACGCCGGGCAATCAGCCAGCGGCCAGCACAAGTGCTGAGGGCAACTGCATAGCTCTGACTATGATTTATGAGTCGCATTTTAATAATAACAAATTTAGAACAAAAATTAAACTCCCTTGCATGAATTTATACTAGTTTTTCCTATTTAATTTCAATTAAAAACTTAAGCTAGATGTTTGCAATTAAAATTCGTCATTTCTAGTTTTAAATTTGCTGAGGGCTTTTCTTTTTGTTGGAAACTTTAGAAAATTAATTATAAATGCAACTTTTTGTTTATATTATAATTCATTTAGCTTTGTTTAATTAATTATGATTGTTTTCCTTTGATTATAATAAATTAAATAATAAGAAATATGAAATTTAATAAAATTCTGCGATCTTTCTCGAGTTGGTCAGACGCTGAGCCAAATGCATTTTACAGGCTTGTGACATCGTATTTGCCAAGCACACAGATTATGTCATCAGACGTCAACCAATCGGCTTGTCAGCTAGTCAGTCAGTCAATCACTCAGTTTATCAGTCATCAGTCAGTCAATCAGTTAGTCAGTCTGTTTGTTATTCACTGCGTTAGTCAGTTACTCAGTCAGTGCCATCGCATATACTATATTAAGATATTTTTTTCTATTAAAATTTTTATTTTTTTTATTCCCTGATAAAATAAACTTTAATCTTATTCAGCCAACTATTGTTATAGTAAATCTATCTGTAAAGTATATCATTCTCAGAAAATGCCTTTTTAATTCGGTTCATGTGAACTCAAAAAAGGCGCTCACAATGGACAGCAAATGGGCATTTTGTGAATGGCAACTATTGCACTGTATGCGGCTGACTTGCAATTTGCGAATAAGCGCTATACAGTCCGAGTCCGTGGGAGCTGCCTTTTGACGCATCACAATGGGGGCCACACAGTCGCACAAAAAGTCGCATTTAGCTGCTGCACTGGCTGCTGGAACAGCGGTCTGTGGCCTCGTGACTGGATTTTAATTTAAGCCCGTAGCACACACATGTTGTCAGCCGCCCTTTGCCCGTTGTCCTGGCTACGTTGGCATTTCAATATTTTTGCACTTTGCCTTATGTATTTCTTTTGCCATGGCACACGGTGCGTATGCGTAATACTGCCTGCTGTTATTTTTTGCAGCTATCGCTTTGTGTGTGTGTGTGTGTGTGTGCGTGCTTGTGTGTTGGGTATGATTTTAAGTGGCTTCAGGCTCAATCAAGTGTACTTTATCATGTGTGCCAAGCATATCAAATTATTTTTGAATCTCTCTCTCTCTCTCTCTGTCCTATCTCTCTGTACTTACTCGATGTAAATGTATAGTCCCACCAATCGGTTTTGCATAGAAACGCTTTAAGGTCATCCGCAGTGCGTCCGACGACAACGTCCGGTGGCGATACCAAAGTCCGCACCAGCAAACATGTCCCAATGGCACCGCAGATTATGCCCAGTCGCTTGAGCAGCGCCGCATCTGTTATTTTGACAGCCTTCGCGGAGCGCACGCGGAATATCACCGAGATGCTGCACAAGATTTGGTTATGGAACAGAAATGATTAAAACGAACAGAAATGGGTTTCTACGGCACGCCGAAGCTTGAATACCCTTTTAGAAATGAGGCTTAGCAGTGTCCTTTATATGAAAGTCCTGTTCAGACCGACTGTTTCTGTAAAGTTGCTTAAAGTTGTTCGCTCTGACATCATTTCGCAGATATTTTAAGAGAATTGTGAAGTTCATATTTGCTTAGCCGGGAAATGATATCTTGAAAAGCATCTCAGTTCTTGATACTGAATATATATATTACTTATATTGTTGGAAACGTTTCCTTCTATACGTTTCACATTTCGTAACTAAGCTATAATACCCTCTCTAAGTGTATAAAAATGCATGCGTTGCCAACTTACCGCCAGGTTTTCAACATCAGTGCACCGTAGGTTAGGGAGAAGCCAATCTCGCGCAGCCAGATGCGTGCGGTGCATGTGTAGAGATTCGGATTCGGGTACATGACAATGTTCTGTGTTGGGGATAACAAAAAAAAAGAAGTAAATGCAAATAACTTAGACCACTCGAATGCCTGATTGTTGTCAGACCGTTTGGCCACTTAGAATTGCAAAATACAAATTTATTTCCAATCGCAAATGTTTGGCTGTTGCCAACGTCCTGTGACAGGAACAGGAGCCAGACCCATAAATGCGAATAGGAAATAGCAAAAGAAATAGGTACGACAACATTTTGTTCGTTCAACTGTAAATTTTGAGCTATTCGAGCACAACAAAAGTCAACATTTTGCATGAAATGTTTTTTTTTTTTGTATTGTTGCTAGCTGTGCGTAAAATGTAATGTATTTCCGTTTATTCTGAAATATTAATAAATCGAGAGCCCAGTCAAAAACAACAACAACATCAGGAGATAGAAATCATTGCTTCCTGCCACTAAGCACAATTTAAAAAATCATAAAGCAACGAAATGCCTTTCCCCCGCACTTGTATCTTTGGTTGGGGCTTCACTTATTGTGTTGCCAAGTGGCAAGCACCTCGCTTCAGATAAATAGCACAATATATCTTTTGCCTCGCATTGTCTGCTGTTGGCATGTATACACACATATATGTATGTTTAAATATATATATATATATATATATGTGTGTGTGTGTGTGTGGATAACGATGAACTCTCGTTTAAAGCTCTTTATTTGGCCAGTGTGGCATTATTTTTTGAGTCACGAGCCATAAATCAATCAAATTAAATTGTAAAGTAATCTATTTGAATTGGGTCCTGGTCATTGTTACGTGCTGAGTCGGTTTTTCTTAGCTCAAATTCATAGCTTTATCTAGCTACTAGTTATGCAAATTGTATTCCATAATGGATATGACAATTTTGCCCACAATAAATCGAGTTCATCCTAAATAAACTTATTTACCTGTGGGCGAGTGTATAAAATTCCAAAAAATAATAAATACAAAATATAATGCTTGACTGCTCGAGTCCTTTGCTAGTGGAGTTTTCCCTTTTGTCTTTCAACTGCTACCCAATTGATTCAAGTGTGTCCAAGCAATTTAATCTGCTGATGTTGAGTCAATTAGGTATTGGAAACAAATTTTAGCCGACTACGGTATACTCTGTTTACAGAATATAATTCGGATCGGTCTCTATAAAAGAGCCACCTGTCAGATTTCGAACTGCAAGGCATATAGGGCTTCAGGGTTTGACTGGGCTTCAGGGTTGAACCATTTGTCCGGAGCCTTACAATAAAAAAAAAATTATTTTTTTTTAATTTTAAAAACTTGTAATAAATAAAAATTTAACATTTTCTCTTATATTCGAAACCATCTCTAGAAAATATTATATACTAATTCCAACTCCTAATATATAAGAAAATCTATTAATATGATTCGAAATTTTCAAAAGTTTTCTTCAAAATGTTATAAATTAGTGCATTTTTTCTAAATGGGATGCACTTTTTTAGTCTTGCAAATTAATTTATTTCAAAAATGTTTTTTATTTTATGGCCGTTTTTCAAAAGTTTAGGAAATCTATTTTTTAAATGTAGTTTGCTTCAAATATTTTTAATTTGGATTACTTGAAATCTGATTCAAGTAACTAAAATAAATTAAAAATTTTCATGCTTAGACATTATCAAACCAATATACTCTACTTCGCTTAGTGTGAAAACGAAATATATGCGCTGCTATCAATTATAAGTGTTCTACCCCTTTCGCATATTATTCAAATAGACAAACAAAAACTTTCACAAAATCTACTTGTTTTAAGTATGCAATGAAGTTCAACAAGCTGTAAACTGTGTTGAGTATTTTAGGTCTAGCTTAAATCTATGCCCAAATTATATTCGAATTGGCTTACCGTGCAGTAGATGAAGAAGGCGCCCAGTGCGATGACCCGTAAAAGAGCTGGACTAGCGGCGCGCACAACCTGAAAATGGTTAAATACAAAAAGTTGTTGAATGGCTTAAGACTAGTTTGAAGGCAGCTATCGTATATCAGCTGAGTGCTGAGCGGAATAAGAGTTAAGCACGTGGCGTGGCTTAGCTTAAATTCAAAATTGAAATCGTCTCATCTGCACAATTGCGCATAGCACCAAACACAAGGAGGTCACCCAAAAGGCGGATAGCGTAGAGCTATTTACTACCAGTCGCAGTCACACTTGGCTGCTTGTTAGACTGAGTAGGACTTAGCGGCATTTAATTAGTTTTGAACTGGCACTGCCGACGGGGGCACTGTAGAATCTACTAGCGACATCGACCTCGAGAGACGCCGACATTAATGCGACAGAATCGCATTTGAAATAAAAACAGTTTAGTTGGCTGACTGCGCTGATTCGCACCACTGAGGCACAGACAGAAGCAACAGGGGCAAAGGAAATTTAATAATTCACTCTGCTTACATATAGAATGTACACATAGCTGTACTACGTACGACTTTCACTCCCACAATCCCCCCCTTGTAAAGTTCAAAACGGTTTAAAACTATACGCCAGAGACTGTGTCTGCTCCATGGACGAACCTAATGAGCGCTCAAGTGGCATCGGACTGGCCGCGTTCTGCAGTCTGAAGTCGCTGGATAACTCTCTCTATCTCTCTCTGTCTGTGTGTGTGAATGTTTGCACTTCCGTTTATGCGGAACCATATCCTTTTCCGTTATTGTTGGTCCACCACGAGCACACGGACACGGAAAAAACACAGACGCACGCAGCACGTACAAAATTAACTTGAAACTAACAATGCTAAGCAGCTTAGCATTCCAATGACAGCAGCTTAGGTTGGCCTCGTCCAGCAGCTGACAGCGCAGCCAGTTGACAACGGCGCTAAAGTCAATTTTGCTTAAGCCCCTCCACAGTTCGAGCGCTGGCTTATAAAAAGTTCGCTGGCCATTTTAAACAAGCGAGGGGGGAGGATAAAAACACTGAAAATGTACTAGCCCAGCACTTAATACAGAGCCAACAGAATAATTCTATTTGGCCCATTGCTGAGAATTGTGAGACGTGTGCTGGCCACTTACCTTGACTTGTTGATAGCGAAATGTGAACCAGGCGGCCGGTGGCAGCAGGCCGATGACGATGCAGGCCAGCGCCAGGATGCTGCTGCGCATGGGCCAATTGAGGGCGGCAATGCAGGGCGAGGCATCTTCACAGGAGTCACAGCCCTCGGCACAGGGCTGGCATTCGTATTCGTTGTTGCTGTTATACGTTGAGTTCTTGCCCTGCGGAAATGAGCCGGAGATATGGGGGTTACATTTTAAATGAGAGTTTCGGTTAAGCGTTGCCAATTACTGCAAGCACACCTGACTCAGCGGATTCTGTTATTCTGTGCTGCTTCCGTTACCATTACACAGAAGATGTGTTGATGGTAATTTATACCATAATACCTTTCAACCTACCAGCATCAGTTTCTCGTACTCCTCCTCAAGCAGGCTGCCATTGAAGAACTTGTGCAGCGAGGCGACGTCGGGAAAGTAAAAGCCCTTGCGGCACAGGCATTTGTAGGAGCCACGCCGAAAGCCCAGACCCATAATCGGCTCGCACTGTGCAAGGTGAGAGTGGAATTGAAAGTGGAAAGTGCAAATGAAAATGAAAATGAATGTGATAGCAATTGACTTCTGATTGCGGCTCTAACGTATTTTAACTACCCACCATGGTGGTGCGCTGTTTACACTTGTCGGTGCCGGCAAAAATGTTCAGCGGTCGCTTCGTGCCGGGCGTATGCCGCTGCGGGCATTGGTCGATGTCCACGCGTCGCAGGTCAATATCAATGCCAGATGTGCCCCTGAAAGTAGGCAACAATGAGCAGACAGAATGAGAAAGAGTCGCATTGATCATTGGAGGGCATTAAAAATGTATGTTATTAATCTATCAATTTAACAATCAACTGGGCGGCACTTAAGCCAAATGGCGTCATTTATAAAATCAATTCAATAAAACGTGCAGCCAGCGGCTCATATTTATGTATTCGTAAGTAAATAAGTGAGTGTGTATGTATGTGGGGTCGGGCCAGTCCAGTCCAAGCCAGACCAAAGGGCATTCTGTGCCCAGCCACTGGATCGCATTTTGTTGTGTGTGTTGGCTACGTTTTATTTTTTTTATATTTTTGTTTTGTACTGCGAGCGATAACAAACAATAAATTCCGCCTTTGATTGCGCATATGCGCGTGTATGTGTGTGAGTCGGAAATAGAAAGGATAAAGGATAAAGGCCAGGCGGAAACTAACAAGCGTGTTATGGTTCCGGTTTCTCAATGAAAACGAACGCAAAAAAATAGTAGAAAATTATTTTCTTGTCCTACCGCTGTCGCTGCCTGCTGCCCTGTCGTTTCACAAAGACATAAAGCCATGAAAAGGGTGCACTAAGTCCGCCACCCGACAGCCAACAGCCGACAGCCGTTAAAGCCAACCCAGACGACTCGCACAACAGTCTAGAAATTCTATATGTGTACGCATTGGCATGGGCATCCGACAACACCCAATTACACGCATTCCCAAGCAGCCAGGCCAGGCCAGCCGGAACACATCTAGAATTTTACGCATAATCCAAGGTTTACATTGGCACAGTGTCCCGAAACTACATATTATTCAAGTTAATTTTTTTATTTAGACTATGCAAACAACCAAAGCAATTATAATAGCTTAATTGTAGCCAGAGAGTCTATATGGCATGAGTTGGATTTGGTTCCATAAACTTAGATAGGTTTATATAAAATTACAAGAAAATTTTAAAGTTTTAGCAGTTTCTGCCGTACTTGTGTGTTTTTTAAGTGTCGATTTTACTTTTTCATTTTATAAAAAAACATTTGTTATAATAGTTTTTTTCTAATAAGGTATTATTGATTATATATTTATTTTATTATATGATTATTTATTTATTAAATTTTTTTTATTAAATGATTATTTATTATTACATATATTTTTATTACCTTTATTTTTTTCTCTTATTATATTTTATACTTCGTTTTTTTTTGTAATATTCTTTCCAAACGAAAATCGTTTAAAAAGTATTTTAATATATGCGGGTCGTTTAATTTCATTCAATTTGAACACAATTATTTTCGAATCTTTTAAATTTTTGCGGTTCAAATTGATGCATAAAAATAATGGTTGATTGTGGTTTTTGATTGATTGATAGCTTTATGTTTGCATAACATCAGAATAAATCATTAATTTAAATAGGCTTATATATGTATTCTCTTTAATGTATTCTTCGAGCCTTTTATAATGCTTGGAACAGTTTAACCAGCCTGTATTTGTATGTGTATTATTTTGTATAGTTCGTTGTTAATTGCCTTTCAATTAAAAAAAGAACAAACTGACAATTTATTTAATTAAATTCAATGGGAAAAGTTATACACACATATATATATATATATATATATATATATATATAATTTTTAATTGCAATTTAAAAATATTTTGTTTGCCCAATGTGCCTCGTGTCGTCTGCCCGTCTAAACGACGCATCAGTTGGGAGACCTTTTCTCTTTTTTAACACACACTGTGGCACACACACTGCGGCACACATAGTTAGGCCTAATGTGCGGGTCCCGGGTCCCGGATCCCGTGCCGTATCGGGTCCGGAGTTTCATGCGGCTGTCAGTTAATATTGACATATCAGTTTGTATTTATTTGATTGTTTCTGACAACTTATTGATTGCAAAAAGGGATATCTGGGCGCATCGGGGCGCAGTATGTAGCAGGACTACACAATGCCCATATTACATTATAATAATGATTATGTTAATTCTCCTGTAGTTGATCCCCGAACGCCTTTGTGTGTCGCACGACAAGGATCATTTTCTCATTGCCATTCTTATTTGCTTGCCTTTTATTTCCTGTGGTTTCGTTTTGTCAGCGCTGCTGATGTGGCTGTTGTTGCTGCTGTTGTTGTTGACAGTTTTGAAGATAATTTGTAAACGGATATCGGAAAATAAGCTTATCGAGCTGACCGGGTATCTGCCCCAATGAGTTTTGTGCGGCTCATATTGATTTATTACTTTGCCGCCGTTGGCAGTGTCTGCGTGAAGAGGATACATTGGCCAGTTTTAATAGCAGCAGTCACATTGCTGATGTGGCAATGTGCCGTGCCTGGTGGCGTATACTTGATGTGCCTTTGATTAAGTGTGGCCCAATGCCTACAAATGAGCTGTCAATTAATTGCTGTCGTCAGATTTTCCGCTTCCGCTTCCAATTCTGTTTTTATTTAAATGCCTGTTGATTTTCAATTTTGTCGCGGAAGAATAAACAATGCGGATGCCATGGCTTTTATTAAGCTTTTTACGTTCTTGGCCTTGTACTGGGCCATGGGGTCACTTGTGCCTCAGCGTTCAGCTGATTAGCATAATTGGTTTTGCCAGCTTGCGCTTGTAGCTGGCTTTGCTCAGCGTAGTCGTATTCGAAAATTGCCTAATTAAATGTTGGCTTTACGTGTAGCAGCTGGCAACAGTCCATAGAAACTTGAAATACACTTAATTTGCGTATTTTAAAAGGGTATATTTATATTGTTGTCAGTGTTTGAAGTAAATTTCATCTAAATATTTGACTAGACAATAGCAAACAAGAACAGGATGCAGTAAATGGATACACGCGGTAGCTACTAAGCTGGAGCTGTGTGTGTGAAACAAATACTTAAGCCCAGCCAAGCACGTGCACAGCTCACGGAATACGTGCACAGCTGAAATGCATTCTTGCAGCTTAAACAGAAAAACCTGACACACACGCACAGCACGTGCGCGCCATTTAAAAATTGTGACAGCTAATACGCATACGCTACTACACACACTTGTTTGTGTGTGTGTGTGTGCGTGTGCTGTTGTCGAGTGCATTAAGTGTGCTCTGCTGGTGGTAGTGCGTATTTTGGCTATGGGCACAACATCACATAAGTGTGTGTATGTGGCAAATGCCAGACCCTTTCACTTCTCAACACACGCACGCAGTTTGTAAACAACTCGCCTGGTTGGATTTGTTGGCGCATTACGTATACGCCATGCACGCACTTATTTGCCAATGTGCGGCAAACTACTTCACACGACAGTCAGGCGTGTGTGCGGCCTCAACTAATGCACATAATCGGCTTCACTTTTGCAGTTTTCACCTCGATGACATTGTTGGTAAGCCATCCAAATATGCGGTTACATGCCTAAAATTGATCACAAAATTGTGCACAGGCAGAAACGAGGCTATGCAAATGCCAAATTTAATAGTTGAACTACGTTCAGTTCGTCTACATTTTTAATAGCCTAATAAACTGTAGGCCCGTCTATTTGTATAACAGCTCTACATAAAATGGATGGAACTGGGGGAAAATAATGTTCAGGATGTGCTTGTACAACAGGCAGGGGGATGGGGATGCTTAGCTGCGGAATAAATTAGTATTAAGATTGTTTTTTGGCCATCTTTCTGTTTGTTTTTCTTGCTGTTGCCCCGAACTGAAGAAAGTCTATACATCGTCACATATATTTGTATATTGCACAAGAAAACCTTTCAAAGAGCATTCGAAATTTATCAAAGTGTTAGCTTAAAAGGCAAGAAGTCGCACAGGGTAATTGCTAGTCGAGCGCTGTCAACTGCATGATTCCTATTTGTTCAATTACCAAAGAACAGAATAGAAAATATTAATTTTCGTTTTTCATTTCTGCATTGAATAGCAAAGTAATTTGCAATTATTGCTTGGGTTCAATACACAAAAAAAAAGAGAAGAAAACCTGACTGAATGGAGAAAGTCTTTTGCTGTTGTTGTTTGTTGGCCATTTGGCCTTGTTATTGTTTTTTTGTCTTCATCTATTGGAAATAGCTGCACTTGGCAGTTGTGGCTGGATCAAAAGGCCAATGCGCTGACAAGGACACGAGCTGCCATTGTTGTTATCCTTGCTGTCGACGCTGCAATGTTGCGTGTAATTGGCCGCTGACAAGACATTGACATTGTGGCCATCGCATGCAATGTCAAATGGCAAGTTGTTACAGTTTGAAGCATAATTGGCATCCAAAGCATAACCGGCAGGTGGACTTTAGTTGGAATGGCTGCATAAGTGCGTTGACATGCAATATGAGTTGCACAAGGAATGTAAACGACATCCTTTGAGATTGGAGCGAATCTCCACTTGAATGGAGGGTAAACATGAAAACACACACACACACACACACGCACACACATGACTGGCAGAAATCTATCATGTGAACGAGCAGACTCATGTAACAGTTAAGCACTTGCATATAGGTATGGGCACCGGCATTGGCATCCCCATGTCATAATCATGTATATTCAGACGTTGCAGCTCGACATCTCGCCGGGTAACAAGCAACTGTCGATCATCCACAGGCCCCTGGCCAACAGTCTATGCACGTTGTACACACTCAAAGGCATGCTTATTGCAATATTTGATACATCCGGTTCCGTTTGCCTCATTATGCTTTGGCAGACTTTGGCATATATACGTATAAATATATATTTATAATGTCTGAATGTCTGTTGTACATATTGCTGCAAAAGTCAAATAAATACAACGCTCGGTTTATTTGAATACCAACCCTGCACCCATAACCCTATTCCGTTGCCCTGGCGTAATATTGTAAATTTGTTGCAAACAGCGCACGCTAAGCGAAACTTAAATGAAATCCAATAAAATTATTGCCCCAGCAAGCATGCCTGAGCAGTCCACGCGCCCAGGACATCGCCCAAGCGCAATGGCGGCATGTCCTTTCTCTGTGCTCACAGCGGGCGCTTAATGTGATTTGTGCTTTATACTTATTTGCGTTCCAGTTCCAGTTTGAGGTTGAGGTTG